TAAATCTTCACATATAATCTTCAGTATAACCCCTTATTCCTGATTAGATAACTACTATACAAATAATATCCCCAAAAGAAACATGATAATTGCACCAACATGATTGTTATATGTAATTTATGCTCATTTTCCTTCAGTTTGGTAATTGCTAAATCAACGATGCGCCATATTGCTATAGCGCATGCTCGTACAACAGAAAATGCTTAACCTTCGTCCAATACTAAAACACTGATTTGTTACAGTACATAATCTTATGAGAAATAATAAGACAATTTGTATTCATATGCGTTATGATAAACGAACAGACATAGATGTAGATGTAGAACAAAAAAGTAGAAGAGGACACTCTTTTCTTCTAAATTTCAACCTAAAATCTCATCTGCAAAAATTGCAAACAATGATTCAAGGTAATAATAAAAAACAATATTTAATTTTTATATAGCGCTTAATACAAATGTCTCTAAGCGCTTTACAAATATACTATTACCCCCGGTCATTGGATTCAGTGTATACCCTTCTAATATCTCTTGGATCAGCTGGTTTAATAAAAACTGTTAAACATTGCGGTTCCATTTAGGAAAATTAGTTCATACTTTCAAATGCACAAGAGTACAATATAACTATCAGACTGGACATTAGGGAACAGTTCCATTCATTGTGCTGCCAAGAGTACGTGGAATCCGGGTATAGCTTTGGGGAAGATTTTCTTCAATTAATTTGAAATCCTATATGCAATGCCTAGCTTTATATATTCGTCACAGATACAAAAAAGGCTTTAATACCATTCCATATTGGCATGATAACGATAGGCCTTAGGTGAACTGAAAATAGAATCACTTTCCGCTTTCTTGATCTATTTCGTTTTAGAAGTCAGAAATGCATTTTGTTTCATTTGTACAGAATATCGCTAATCCTGTTAGAAGTGTAGATCCTACATTCGACGGAGGCATTGTTCTGAATTCTCATGCTCTCATTTGCATCAATTCCATTTGTTGACCGCATAATTATTTAACCCGAGTCCAATTTCTCAACTCGAGAAAAATAGCGTTTAATGTATTCAAATATTCCCACTCACAGCACTTTAAATTCTGCGTATTGATGTGGAGTAACTCGAAATGTTTCGTGTTTCCGCTTAGTAATTATACAGGAGAGGTTCGATTTGAAACAATGAACGTGTCCAATACATCAGTGCTCGTCATCCGGTAGTATAATGCTCTTTTTTATACAACGAACTCGAAACTTAAATTCTGTTTTTTCTTAAGGGTTTCCTCTTCTGTCTTCTTTGAAGTGATTAACTTGAGATAAGATGTATCTGCTTCTGCATTTCTATCTGCGTGTAAATGAAAAAGAAATTCTCCGAAAAAATAGATGCATGACCAACATGCGAGGAGGGATGAGGCAGGTTGAGTTGGTTTCGAAGCCACCACAAAACGGGACATCACTCGTAGTAGGAAAATTATTATTATACAGGTTTATATAAGTTGTCTTAAGACGCATAACCAATTCATATCATATCACACATCAAGATAGTATCATAATGATAGTAACAGCGAATCCCCGTGCCCCGGGCGCTGTCCATACAGTGTCAGTCTGGTGGCGTTTCGGTTCACGTTGAGATATCTCAAACCGTATGAACACCAAAATATATGTAAGGACGAGGCCTGTAAATATAATATCAGATTATTCAAATTATAGGTGTGTGATGTCATTGTTCAGGGTGTTTCCGTAGCTTCATCCACGAATCGAACGGCGATAGATACGAAAAATAGAAAGAGAAAGAAAATGAATGTAAACATAAAGGAATAGGCCCCACCCACACAAACACCCACACACCCACACACGCACCTCCCCTTATTAATGGTGGCCTTTTTTAAATGCACATTACATTCACCTAGTAAGCCCTCCCCGCCAACCCCCAACCCCCCCCCCCCCCCAACCCCCCCCCCCCCCCCCCTCCCCACACCACAATGCAGTGCCCCTCAATAGTTGGTCCTTCGCTACGCTAATAAGGAGTCTGTAATCCGATGTACCGTCTTGTTCATTCATGCGTAGCGTTACCACACATACACTCACCCCGTATTTCAGCCACATGTTCTAATTTTGGTTTACCAGTATATCAGTTTGCCTCACCAACGTTGACAAACTTTTCATAGGGTATGTACGGAAGCGTTAAAGTGCCATTCTACTTGATGACATGACGAGATATTCCATCTTGTCTTCATATCATGTCGACATGTAAAAATATTTAACTTACCATGTCGACTTCACAAAAAGTCCATGTCGTCATGGCGACATAAATTATCTTGCCAAGTTGACTTCGCATAAAGTTGATGTCGTCATGGCGACATAAATTATCTTACCAAGTCGACTTCCCAAAAACTATCTGTCGTCATGGCGAAATAAATTATCTTGCCGAGTCGACTTCCCAAAAAGTATATGTCGTCATGGCGAAATAAAAATATCTTGCCAAGTCGACTTCGTAAGAAGTACATGTTGTCATGGCGAGATAAAATATGTTACCGAGTCGACTTATTAACAGTAGATGTCGTCTTGGCGACATAAATGATCACGTGGAGTCAGTTTTAAGAAGTCACTAGACCTAGACTAGTCGACTGTGAATGAACTACACGTATGCACGCTGCATGAAATAGTCGTCACACTACATATCTCGCCATGACGACATATACTTTTTGGGAAGTCGACTTGGTGAGATAATTTATGTCGCTATTACGAGATGAACTTTTTTGTGAAGTCGACTTGGCAAGATAATACATGTCGCCATGACGACATGAACGTTTTGTGAAGTCGACTTGGCAAGATAATTTATTTCGCCATGTCGACATTACTTTTTGGGTAGTCGACTTGGTAAGATAATATATGTCGCCATGACGACATGTAATTTTTTAGAAGTCGACTTGGTAAGATAACTTATGTCGCCATGACGACATGAACTTTTTGTGAAGTCGACTTGGCAAGATAATTTATTTCGCCATGTCGACTAATAAAAGTTGATAAGTCAACATGGTAGGTTAAATATCTTTACATGTCGACATGATATATACATTAAGTCGACTTGACAAGATGAAATATCTCGTCATGTCGTCAAGTAGAATGGCACTTTAACGCTTCCGTAGGTATGACTTAAAATTAAACCTAAAATATTATAGCAACGTAGTCTAAATGAAAAAAAAAATATCCCTAAATTCAAATATTGACATGAAAAAGCAAAGGGAAATAGATCATTTTTTGTTAATTTACTCTAAATTTCGTTATAATTATAAACCAGTGTTACCCCCCCCCCCTTCCCCGAGAAGTACAGATCGGTTCCTGCACACTTCAATTAAACAAGAACGACAAAAGATCAATGAATTTTTATAAGAGGATCTCATGAGAATGTTTTCTTTTTGTTGTCATCGATCTATTGAGCTAGGTAGACGAATCGAATAATGAGACCAAATTACTCTAAAAAATCAATGGAAAAACACATCATAAATCTTCATACAACCAATCCTTATTCGCCGTGTTCCCTTTACCCGTACCCCATCGTAAGTCTTGCGATCTCAAGTCATCTTATAGACAAATTAAATCAAAACTAAGACTCCCCGGGCTCTATCAAACGATTAGCCTTAAATAATTCCATTTCGTATAGTAGCGTTTGAGATTCGTTATCAATATTGATATACGATGAAGACAGATTGTATTATACCAATGGGAATGTCAAAAGCTAAATCATTCTGCTGTTTTTCGTTTGTTGCTTCCTTCCAAATTGACGGTCGCGTCAAGAGACTACATGACAACTTCGACTGCATTGGCCTCACCCCCCCCCCCCCCTTCTCCCAGGTGCCATTACCTCCGGAGTGCAACTTCCCAATACAAAGAATAGGGCCTATTATACCGCAAGGGCGCACTGTCGCGACACAAACTTTGTGTACAGAGGTAGGAACACGGAAGGGGTGTACCATGTATCGCATTACGTTTTGATTCATATCTTTTTAGACCGTCAAACTTAGGGCGGTGAGATATGCAGCATATACCACAAGCTGCATACGTCACTATGAAGCAACAATGAAACCAAACCAGAACTAACGACTATGTTCAATCCCTCGTCTCGATAATCAAAGTAAAAGAAATGTATTGAAAATTCTCAAGAACACATATAAGATTCGAATGTGCATCCGCTTACTAGTAGGCAATGTTTTGTTTCGTTTTTGTTTATATTTATTGTTTACTTGATACTGTTTTACTTTATTTTTTTCTCACTAATCACTTTTGATGATTTTCTGCGGATTTGTCTTGGGCAATTCCCTTGTGAATCAATGACATCGTTACCCGATGCGGATGATTTATTTCTCGTTCGACGTCTTTCATTATACATGGCACATCCTCTAGAGAGCCATACATTGACACCCTTTTATAAACAGCATTAAACAAGAGTTGGCGGAGAAAACAGAGTAGATATTTCATACTAAAAAAAGGGTAAAATCAAAGCCGAAAAAAGTCTAACCCACGAATGTGCATTAAACAACTAATTCGAATTTCAAATAAAGTGGTTAGCGTGAGACAGTGATGAATCGGATGCTGGTTTGGGGCGTCTGCTTTTGAAGCAGAATTGCGACAGTGTTACCGTTTGATGCAAATGCTCGATGAATTATGACGAAAATATATCTCAATCTTGTTTGAAAAAGTCTACAGTGATGATTTTCTTGACAGTGGGTTGTGGAATAAAAATGGAAAATCATACAGATTAAATCGACAATAGCCTGGTGTCGATTCTGGCAAGGTCAATCCCTCATACGTAAATGATTGCGAGAATTTTAACTAATCATTCAAACGAATCCAAGTAAACCCGCGCAGGAAATTTGTGACTGCGAACGCACCGAACCCTAAAGTCACAAAATTTTCTTTCTTTTGTTCTATTTTAGGTTGTTTGTTGTTCTTATTCTTGTATTTACTTTCAGCGTAAAACTAAAAAATAACGATATTTTATTTTATCACTACAGGCGTAAGCTTTACAAACCAAACACACAATGGTGACTGACACAACAAGACTCTTGCTACTGGCAGCCATCTTTTCTGTTTTCCTTGCGTGCCTTCCATCGCTCGGCCAGTGCTTCGTGGTCTACGAAGAAGACGTTGATGAAGATAGCGAAAACGACGGCGAATGGAAAAGAGGGTATCCTCGTAATAGCGTGGTCGCTGATCCCGTACTGAGGTCGCCTGTCACGTACAAATCAATGAGTAAATATTTACAGGGACTAGCCTCCAGACGATTCGTAAGAGACCCACGTAAGTAAATCCCTTTCTTCTCCCATGATGAAAACAAAATAAAACAAAACAAGGGCTTTTATTTCATACCACAGCGATATCTATTATGACACCATGAGATTAATGTTAAATCACCACCATTATCGGATTTGTCTCATTTGTTGCAGCTTTAAAGAAGAAAAAAAACGTTGGAAGAACATAAAAAGTGTTACAAATTACAAAAATGATGGACTTTTCTCAAGAAGTACGCTACGAACCCGACTCCCCTACCTTCAAAATGCGAATACGGTCTCTTAAACAGATCAAACGACGTTCCCCTATCCCGACCAAGCCAATGTCAATATTATTGCATGTGATCGGTAATGTGAATGTAATGTCAATAATGTGGAGCTGCCTTCATCTTTATTTCTCAAATCTAGACAGCTGCGGAATATCTGTGCAGATAAATTGTATGCCTGGGCATGCACAGAATCCTTCAAAAGTTGACCAAAAAGCTCACCATCATTAAGTGTTTTGTTTTGTTTTGTTTTCCTTTTCCTTGATGGTTACGTAAATATTACGCAGGTTATTTTGTCTTTACGTGTCTGTCTTTAACAACAGAAAAGTATGTTTCATGATGATATAGCAGGTCATTTACCTCCAGTAGTGTTAGTGGCGTACCTACGGGTTCGCGGGGGAGGGGGCGCGTCGCCCCCATGCCCATCCCCATCGAATGGGGAAAGAGAAAAAGGGGTAAACAGAGAGATGAAAAGAGAGAGGGAGAGAGAGAAAGGGAGAGAGAGTGTGTGTGGGTGTGTATGTGCGTACACATATGTGCGTTGTATGTGCATATGAGAGAGAGAGAGAGAGAGAGAGAGAGAGAGAGACAGTGGTAGAGAGAGAATCACTCTCTCCTCTCTCTCTGCAGCCTTATTTTCTCGCATTTTATACAGCCAGTAGGACCGATGCATCTTGCTTTGCCCCTTTTCAGATGAAAAACGTTTCATAAGAAATGCCCTTGTAGAGATATGAGGGGTGGCGAGGAGGAATGAAACCAAAATCCTAATAAATTGGTAGAAGATAATGGACATGATAAATGGGGTAAAGCAGATAGATGGGCGTGGTCAGTGGCGACATAATCATTAATGGACAACAAAATCCCTAACCCGCAACGAAATCAGAGTTTCAGAAAGACTATCGTTGTTAGTTAGAGGGATAAATAGGGAAATAGAGAGGGAGCACGGTAACACGTGAATGATTGTGAGAGACATGTGAAAAGGGAGTAGTAGTGAGAGGAGGAGGGAAGGGGGAAAGAAGTAGAGTGGAGCGGCTTCTGACCTTAGAAGTAAGATACTTCAGATTTCAATATCCGGAGAAGCTGAAGTGGGCGACAAACATTTTGTCATGTTATTACTAGTTTCCGAATAACGTGACAAGACGTCGTCTTAAATAGGTCTCTAGTTTCAGTTTCCGCTCTCCCGGCGCCGAGAGCCACAAACATTATTACAAAATGGGTCTTTTATTATAATTTTCGTGTCAAATAAAATCGAAATATTCTTAAGAGCTACGGCCAGCTCATTTACAATGATCTGAAAATATCGTTTCATGTAATATTACTTTACGATCCAGTGTTGACCAGCTTTTCAATTTGTTAGCTTAATCGCTGAAAGCTGTTACCGTAACAAGTGTGTCTAAATAATATACAGACATCATATAAGGCATGATAATCACATATCACTGTATTGTTGTCATCTTGGGAATATATCCGCTTCGCTTGAACAGACTTACGAGATCGTGCGAACATTAATAGCCAGCAATGCATATAACACTTACATGAAAACATTATTAGAAAGACCTTCTTAAGGGAAAAAGAGTCGGGTAAATAATTGTGCAATCCCAAATTACTTAGCAATGTCCAAATTATTTGATGCACTTTTTATTTTCTTACTATTTTTGTTTTGTTTAAGTTTCCCTGCAAATTTAATCAAATTCATTTCATGTTTATCAACGAGAACTGTTCATTATGTTGGCTCTTTATCCTGTTTTTCCGGTAGTATTTTTTGTAGAAATGAAGATTCTGATATCGCAAGAGAAGCCATAGAATCACGAATGAATCGGAAGAAGTCGTCATCATATCCAACTTGTTATCTTTTCCCCATAATTATAATCACTACTTACTTTTACCGGTAAATGCTTAATTGAAGTCTTACCATCATGAGAGATTCGGATTAGAATTAGAGAGCTTCACATAATATTAAGATACAACATAATAATGTTTAAAAGGACATTTTATAAAACCTCACTCTTTCGGTAATAAAAAAAGTGCATGACATCTCTTCGATAGGTGAATAGGTCAGGTAAGGTCACCAGTAGAACCGACCCAAAACCACTTTATTGGAAAATGCTTCAACAGAAAGCATCGGCAATGACGACAATAATATTCTGGTGGCCTATCCATCCATTATATACGCCCCTCTCTGGACTGCTTGAAGGCCCAGACAAAAATAAGACAATATACAGTGGGTATACGGAACGCCAGAGCTGTCGTAAAGATCAGTGGTCCTGGATACTTTACACCCCCCCCCCCCCCCCCCCCTTCTCCCCGTTCGTAAACGATTCCGCCTTCTGTTTGCTAGTTTCTGGATACACCACTGGTTTTATCATTTAACGTATTTAACAAGGAATTACCAGGAAAGGCATATTCTACACGAGAATTAATCTGTTCTTAATGTTAATATTTATCTTCATAAATAAGTGACGGAGATGCAAAAAAAAAATATATTTAGTATCTCACGTCATCTGTATAATAATAACTTTTCGTTTCCCGCTTTTTTTATTATCTTTTTTTAATTTTCATTTCTTCATTATCCTCATCTACAGTATCTATTATTTTGATCAAAATCGCAAAGTGTATTTTAAATACACATTTGGATCTTGTCTATATGTAAAAATAAAAAAAGAAGAAGAAAAAAGAACAGAGCTGTTTACTATAATACCTAACTATCCTACTTCTGCCACACATCTATAGTTAGAGTGCACTGCAGGGAGTCATCTCCTTCCGCCATTATGGGGCTAAGCCTTTACCTTTCGTATCCTCTGCTGTGCCATATGCTACAAGTGGAGACTTGATGCTGTCAGGACTTATCCCAAACCCAGTGTGATGAGAACTTGCTTTGATGGGGATACGTGAGCACCCAGCTTAATTAAAGTTTTACATTTTCTGACCCGTGCCTCGTCCCTGTGAGCTTTCGGGAGAGACATCAATATTGAATGGCTTTGGTCCCTCTGGTTCTGCCTAACTTGATCACCTCCAATCCTTGTCAAACTGAAGGCTAGTCCTTGACAAGAAGAAGAGTGAATCCTCTTGGGTTAAGGACATCGGGGTTTTTTTTCGTAAAGGACGGTGCGTCGGTCTTAATGAAAGTAGTGGAAACCTTCAGAGATTGGTACTTTTTAATAGTATTTATGATTTTAAGGGGCCCTTAACACATTACATTGGATTAAAGTAACACAATGTGTAGGGATATGGTGTTCATTATGATGTTAAAGACAGGAGAAAATAATTCGGTATAATAAAACATCGTCGAATACGATTTCACCGCTATGTTACGTTACGATTGATAACTTTGTCATCTTTATTTTTATATATTTAGAACAATACAGTAGGAACTATTGAAGCTTTAGTAATTGTTTTATCTTTTTTCTTCGTCCTTGTATTAAGGCTATTTTTTTTTAATGACCCAAAGTGCTTTATGATGTCTCTTATAATGATTCCATATTATCCATAATCGTATTCTCCTTCTTCATTTTTACATCACTGGTAATTTATTTATCTCACTGGTATTTCATTTATCCCACTGATAATTATTTTATTTTAAAATATAACTTTTATTTACACCTTAACCATAGACACCTTAGATAAGGAGTGTGGCCGGGAGGATGATGTGCGAGAAATTACTTATTTCATCACCAGTTTTCTGTCATTGCCAAATTTCTCCACCCCCCCCCTTGTTTTTTTCACTGAACGATCAACATTCTACCACACGCCAACCCTCCATAACTAATTCACTCTGCGTCCCTTTCTTCAACACCAGAGACCAAAGGGATTCATTACACCCCTCAGAGATCCTCAACAAAGCTTAGCATGCAATAACCCACAAATGTCATGACTGTCACACGGGCTATCTCAGAGGTTTGCTAACCCAAACAGAATTCCAGATCTTCCAAATATAATCCCTGTGGAGGATATAGTGTGTGTGTGTGTGTGGGGGGGGGGGCATTGGGGGCACGTGCCTCCCCCAGCAATACTAAGTATGTCATACGATGTACGCATTAGTACAAATCCAGTTATGTTAGACCCCGAAATGCATTTATATGAACATTGTTACGAATATGCAAATGAGATGATTCAGGATATGCTAATATGAGTTAATTGCCCGGACCCAACAACATAATAATATTCTTTGTTTGTCAGATAATTTGTTGTGCCCCCCCCCTCCATTAGAGAATCCTTGATGTACCACCGCAATCGTTATCTTTATAATCCTGAAAACATCATTATAATATGATCTGATAACACAATATCATCTTCATAGACAATAATCTCCAACGGAATGAATTGTTTTTGGAAAGTGAGAAAGTTGTCTCATTTCTCTTGGGTCATCTTCAACACCTTCACTGTTCGTTTCAATCATTCTTATTTCACTCAACACGTTTGCTGTTTTAGTTAATACACACTCTGTCCATCGTTTCTGAATACGTAATATTACCTCTCTCTCTCTCTCTCTCTCTCTCTCTCTCTCTCTCTTCATTCGTTAATCGTGCAACCCCTTCTAAGCCCCGTATTGCTTGTCTTACCTCATTCCCCGCTCTTTTTATCCAGTCAGTATCCATCCTCTTCCCCCTTCTGTTAGTTATTACCCCCCCCCTCCCCAATCCCTCCCCTTCTCCGTCTCTCTCTTTCTCTCTCTGTCTCTGTCTCTCTGTGTCTCTGTCTTTTTTTCTATATCTCTGTCTATCTCTCTCTCTGACTCTCTCTGGAAACGTATTGGTACGACGTCAGGATGTTATAAAATGATGCAGATTCTAGAAGATAGCGAGATAATTTGGCTCTTCGGTCACATTAAATTAAATCTAAAAGTAAATCAAACTATCTGTAAACGGTCTGTGAAACCTTACGATGGTTTGAGATCTTCTTAAACAAATTTGTAATTTAAATTCAATCCGTCACATTGCATGTCTGTCCTATCGGGATCCAAAATGCATGAATTTCTACGTGTTATACTACATAAAGAGCTGAAAACGGTATCTTGTGACATCGTCACATCTATGAGTATGAGAAGGGACTGAAGCCGTTCCAAAGCTAAAAATCAATTTTAATTTAGATTTCCTGACAAATTTATATTCCAAATAAGCAGACAGGGCAGTGAACTGACGTTCCATTGCTACTTCCATTCCATGTCTGAAACTTTTTACACGTAAATCATTGGGATTTCAGCAAAATTTAACTATGCGCCCCGTTACCCGGGGCAACGGGCATCTTTCTCATTAACTATTGACCGTTAGGCGAGCTTGGCTAAAATCACGACTCAAATCTCGACCAATTACATGTTCATGACTAGATTTATTCAACATACTAAAGAGAGGGATATAATAATTATTATATTACTGAAGGAAACATAAACAAGAGTCATGATCTGTGTACCTATAGAGCCTTGAACTCGGTCAAACCACTTCATATTCGCATACAGGGAAATTAAGTACTGCTTGATTAGCGTGAGATTCGGAAAGAAATGTCCGACATACGAAAGAAAGTCAATATCAGATTAAAATCCGAAGAGTGCTCTTATACAGCCTCATAACGGAAGGCATTAACAGGCAGGTAGAAAATAACACCAAACATTTACATGGGTGTAGTTGTGTGTAATATAGTTCGTGGTTGCATGAACTAATGTAATTCAAGGTATAATGTAAGATATTTAAAATTAGTAGAAACGTCAAATCGTTAGAGGGTCTCACGTCATATCGTTATGGGCACCCTCTTTAATATCCGCTCAGTTAAAATGAAAATTAATGGGCTTTTATTGCTTTACATGTGCTAACCCTTAATTAGACTCTCCTATCAGCACGACCACAGAACAACCAAAATATTTTCAATTTCATTTATTTCCACAGATTCATAAGAGACAATATAAATTACAATCAAATATAAAAACATTGAAACAAAAGATGAACCTGCAGAGGGGGTAATAACAAACCACAGAGGTTTATCGTCCCCGTCCCTCGATCCTAGCCGACTATCACTCCGGACGGTTATCCCTGGATAAGTACTTCTTAGGACATACGGCTATTCCTGCAAGGATGAATATGAACTATCTTCCCATTTTGCGTGTGTCTGTCAATTTGAAACGGAAGTAGGGAAACAGTCGAATGAAATATATCTTGAATTTATGCAATTATAATCACTTTGCTGTAACCATGATAATGTTCAGCATTTGAAATATATGTATTCAAATATCTAATTTCCAGAGAAAATTGTATGTACTTTTTTCTGGATATTAGAAGTGGCATCATTTTGCAAGAGACACAAACAAATAAATAAACGTACTTTTTGAGCTGATTTTGTTTGACAGAGAAAGCGAAATGATCAGCTAAGAGGCGAAAAGAATATTTATATATTTGTTATTGAAGGGTCTTGGATTATGTTGGGATCTATATCATCAAGGCCCACACGTGGAGACATGTCAGGCTGGCTAATTCATGAGTCATCCTATAGAGATTTTAATCTTTTAACATTTAAATGTTTATTATGGATTTTGAGAAAATTATTTAACCTGATTATTCTGCAGCAAAAACCAAACCCTTTTTTTTTTTTTTTATAGATTTGTCTTCCTCTTTACTGCTTTTTTTTTTTATTATTCGGTTCTCTCCCTTTCTCTCTGCTCTCTCCTCTCGCTTTCTCTCTCTCTCTCTCTCTCTCTCCTCTTTCTCTCCCTTTCTCTAATTATGTGTATTCATATGCCCTTCACTGTCCTGATCTGTCAAACTGTACATTAGAGGCTTTTAAAACAATGTCATTTATCTGTTAGTTTGTTCTCACAGTGTTAATCAGATATCTTGTGATATTTCCAATAACATTGTACTCCCTATATTATGTCTGTCTTTGTTCTCTTTCTCCCAACTTTCTATATAATTATATATCTGATCATCTCCTAATCTTCCCTACTTTTAATTCATTACAATTATTTCATTATGAATGCATAATACCTGAAAAGATAATTATCAATTTTACAAACATGATATTCACTATTATGTTCCTATGCATCATTGTATTTCATATGCCTCTATACTCTATTTTCCCTCTTCCCCCTTCTTTTTTTCTTATCTGTACGAATTCGAATAACCAGAATGTATATTGTAATGTGTATTACATTGTGTTTTTTACTTTGTAAATTCCATGTAATGCAGCCCTTGGGCTGCTGCCATGTGTATTCAAGTTTTGTTTTACACCATTAATATTTCAATTCAACTCTCTCTCTCTCTCTCTCTCTCTCTCTCTCTCTTTCTCCCTCCCTTCATCCCCCTTCTCCCCTCTCTCTTCTCTTCTCTTTTCTTCTTCTCGTCCGTTTTCCGACCCCCCCCCCCCTCCCCCCCCTCTCTCTCTCTCTCTCTCTCATTCTCTCTGTTTATCTTTCTCTGTAATATTCTATTTCCACCTGTTCTCAAACCCATCTTGTCTATTTCTTGCCCTTTCTATTCTTCCAATATATTCAGAAATGGACAAGAGGCAAGTAAATGTTGGTCTTCGTCTAGTCTCTATGGATGCGATACGTAATCACATAAACCAATTAGCTGACTCAAGAAGCCGACAGAAACTTCGTCACAATCAGAATCTCATGGACCGCGTAGGCAGGAGGAGATAGTGGTTTAATTTAACAAAATGTTAAAAGGTAGTTAGACGAAGGAAAATATTAGAAATGAAAGGATAACAAAAGAGTGTGGTTTCTACAAAAAAATGAGAAGTAGGAGAAAGAAAAGGAGAAAAAGAAGATGAAGAATGGAGAAATAGGAAAAAGAAAAAAGAGGAAAATAATTGGAGAAAGAAAATAGAAGAATGAGGAGAAGGAGCAAACGCAAAATGAGAAAGGAAACCAATAAAATAAGCAAACTGGAGATATACAAGGCGGTATGGGCTGAAGTGTAGTTTATCAAGTTTAATGAATATTAATTTTACCGTAACGAATTGCACTGATTATTATCCGAATGATGAGGAAGAATCACATTGAATATCCTCATTCATCCTGGGGAGGGGAGGTGAGGGGAGGGGAAGGGGGGGGGGTAGTAATGGTGAATTCGGCACGAGGGCCGGTTGGTAAAAATGACAGCCATCACAATGTTTACGCATAATTTAAGCCCCAAACAGTCCCTGTTAATTCTGAATGAATGCGCATGTTATTCTTTCAAATTTTTTGTCAATGTAAATGATTTACTTTTCTTTTTTTAGTTCAACGACGAAAAAAACAAAAGTTGATTTGGCAACATCATCATGAGAACAATACATGTATTTGGTATTGATAGCGTGTCATTGTTCCCCTTTTTAATATTCTTTATCTTGCTTCGGACCTTTTTACTTATTCATGTAACTATGTTAATGCCTTATTATGCGCATGAGCAGACAACTGAATTGTAAAGGGTTAATTTTTTTTAATTAAAACTTACGACCGTCATTTTTTAGGTAGTTTATCATTTATTTTGTATTCAGACTATTGCTATACTGTTGTGTTGTGAAGTGCAGGAAGATAACGTTTTATAATTTAATATTTTTTAACTTAATCTTTTTTTTCCTTATATACCATTATATATCTTAGGAAACATCACACATCGGTGCTTGGCAGAAGCAGTGTGGAGGAATAGCATCAGTCTTTTCTCAACATCAGATGGGACATCAGATAGGATGAGCTGTTATAGTTTTAGATTAGAGTAGAACCCGATTCAAGATCCAATCCTTCATCTTCCTTTAAGCTGTGTAACAACAGTCACCTTATTCGTAGCTCCGAATTATTATGACCCTTGCCGTAATTCCAAAACATTAACATTAACAAAAAAATTAAAAACATTTTAGCGCTACATTTAGATAGAGAATACCGCTTAGTTGCTTTTATGTCCGTATATATTATGTATAGTTTCTGCACCAATGATGAAGAGTGCAGACCACCCCCCCCCCCCAATTAAAATTCCCTAACGACGCACCAGAATTTAGGTCTGGTAGAGCCTTCAAAGGATCTACAGTAGACAGACTAAAGAAAGTAGAGCAAAATTTCATCTTTTTTCATGTATATTCCTGATTTTGCATACCTTATTCCTCGTGTCTAGATAATATACTGGAATCTATTTAGGGACAGATCAGTTAATCAATTCGAATCCAATATTATTGTTCTGAGGCTTAAGGCATGTTTTGTTGTTCAGTGATCACTTTCTAGCTTACATTTTAGGATGTATGCATGTATAAACAAATTCGTCACTTTGTTGGTATGAACACCTTCTTTTATCTTTCTGTAGATCATCATTGTCTCCCTAAATAGGGGCAATGCCCGGCATTAGTTTTAACATTAGGAAGTATATTTGATGTTGTTAATGTAGAGCAAAATAAAGACTAGAATGGCAAAAACATATATATTTTTTCTAAGCTATTAACGTTGGGCATATGTTTAAAGGCATTTTGTTACGTGTGTTTAATTGTGCTATAGTATTTCATTTTAGTTTTCAATATTTAAGATTGCCTATTATCATACCTTGTAATATTGGAGAAATGTACTTGTAAACCACCAAATATACTAGCAGAGGTTAAGGGCGTGTGAAGTATGTATGTAAATAATAAAAGAAGAGAAAAAAACACAACTAGCACGGAGCTTTATGCAAGGTTCAGATATGAATGGTGCTTTATAAGGAATTATGAAACTCTGCATAAATCCAGAATTGCATTTATTGTTCATCCATCAAGCGGAATGTAGAAACTTGAAATTGGAATATTTCTGTTTGAACGTCTGCCGAAGTACAGATAGAACATTTGTGACAATGCAATGCATTTGAAATAGATGGATTGAGGGCGTGTACTTAGAACAGAAATCGCCACTTTGCAGATTAGCGTACCGTTACACTTTACACTTGATATCATTTTTAAACCAAATAAAATAAAGATGATTATTTTCTAGGCATTCAGACCAGTAAACGAGCAATTTATTGTATGATATGAACACAAATGCTAATTATTTATCATGATTATTTGAAGGATTAAAATTATTTTATTTGATATATCATTTCTGTCAGCTGTTGTTATATAATGAATGTGAATATTAAAGTGATACAATAAATGATATGAAATAAGATTAGACGATCTGCCTATGCGCTTTATTTAATTATGATCAAGATTGAGAAAGTTTCATATAATTATTGCATCATAAATTAGGAGCCAGCAAATAGCAGAACATGGCAAATGAATATTAAAATGATAAATGATTTACTATTTTGATTGCAAATAACTCAAAAGTTTGATCTGGTAAAAGATTTACAGGTTTGCACATTGATATAATATCTGAGTTGAAGATCAACTTGGAGCAAGTTTTTATTTCAACTTTTAGACAAATCAAGGCCACAAAATGTGTATGTGTATTTGAAAATAACGTCAGAATTCAGACCATCACAATACCATGCAAGCGGATCACATCTGATTTAAAAATCAGAGATGCGTGGCCCATATACTTGTTATCAGTGTCTGTGATAATGGTGTAATATTGAAGCCTTAAAAATTGCGCTTCAAAATGTTCATGAACTGCTTCAAAAAAGTAAAAACTTTGAGTGGCCAGTTTTACCATACTCGTTTCCCCCAAACTAGTGTTATAAAAACCGTTGGGAAAACGGTTTTTGAAATTTCTAATTCCAATCATAAATATTGTGAAAATCAGACAGGCGATCGGCTTGTAAAAGTCATGAGATTCCTGACTGACCTAAAGGTTTATAATTATGATTTCAACTTGAGCTAAATCCAGGATTTTATTTAAGAATCTGAGGCAAAGATACCCAATGCCAATGCCCGGTATCATTACAAACTCAGGACTGGAACAGTCTTTCTCCCTCAATTGTAGCCCAACCTTCCTTAAATACTTTGAAATCTGCGCTTAAAACCAACTTAAAACCAGCACCTTAAGTTGGTGGCCGCACATGACGACACACCTCCAGTTTAAACACCTTTACGGCGTCTTTTGGAGGAATCCTACCAAGTACCAAGACTCGCCGTACCATTAGGTGCACTGGAGGTCGCACAAAACATAGTCTGGCAATGATTGCCCCGCGATCAAAATCTTTCACTAACCGAATTATTAAATAAAAGAAAGGACCCATATAACCCTAACTCTAACAATTAACCTCCTAATCCAAATGTAACTCTCATCTTAATCCTGTTGTATCTTTGATATTGACAAAATAAAGCTAGGATGAATATGTCGCCGGAGTCTGTGCTGGAGAACCACTCTGGAACTTAAAATCTTGATACCCGAATAATGTGTTCTGGCTCTGTATGCATTGATCAATGGTACAAAAATATTTTGTGGCCTAGGATTGTCAAAAAGTGGAAATAAAAAATAATAAAAGTGTTATGTTAAGAATCCTTTAAACACTGACAAATTAAGTTTGATATGAGTTTTAAGAAAAATGCTCAAAACAAATCTAAGAAACTCGTTGAAGACCAGCTTTTAATGAGAAGACATACGGAGAGTGAAGCTAGAGGAAGAAGTGAAAAAAGATATAAAAAATGACAAAACTAAAGAAGAGAGATTAAAAAAAAAGATAAGAAGCAGAACGAGATGGTAAATACAGAAATAGGAGAGAGAGAGAGAGAGAGAGAGAGAGAGAGGGGGGCAGAGAGAGAGAGAGGGGGGGGGGCAGAATGATTGTGAATTTGAAGGGGCTAAGGTATACTTTGCCCCCGTCCTGACCAATTTTCTTACCGAGAAAAGTATGCCTAAGGGAAAAAGCAACTTTATCAATCAGTCATAATGTTGTTTGAAAGTCATTAATAATCAAATTGCTCATATCAAAACAATTGAATCTAATATAATCATTCCACTTGCAATAATGCTTGCTTGCCCTGGTATAACAATAAATAATTTCTTTATTTTGATATGCGGGTGGGTGGAGGAGGGAAGAGCAGTCCAAGGTAAAGATGACGCCCATACTGTTCTAAATATACTATATATACTAT